CCCAGCCCCCCCCCCCCCCCCCCCCATGGCCCCCCACCTGGTAGTACGGCCCGTACAGCCTCCAACGGGCACGATGCCTCGTGAATATTCAGCACTCGGAGGTCCTGCACCCCACACAGAATGGGGGGGGGGGGGGGGGGGGGGCTGGGGACTATGCAATGCTCTCCGGCCCCTGAGATGCACGAACTGGAGGACTGACAGCTACTATGAGGGCCCCGGGGTGGCCCCTGGCACTGATATGCTAAGTGATGTTGCGCATAATAAAATGCGATGAAAACGGTACAAGGGCCACGCTCATAGTAACACAAGTGCTTTAAACACACACAATACATTTATCTATACATACACAAACCACACACACACAAACACCATTCAATTTATTACATTTATACATCTGTCCATCTTTATAATTAAAATTTGTTAAATGTAATTACAAATATTTGGTAATTGCCTTTTTCGTGTGCCAACGAGTTTGTAAAACACATAACTTTACACACACGCACACACACACACACACACACACACACTGTAATTAAACAGTTTTTTTTGTTTTGCACCATGTGTTGGGGGTGCTATAGATGGGGTGCTGGAGCCGGCATGAGGACCCGCATCCTCTCCCAACCGTGCCACGAGGCGGCTGTCTGGCTTGAAGAATCTTTAGAGGATGCTTGGAAGTCAGCTGAGATTGTTGTAAGGAGAAAAAAACACACAAAAAAGGAGCCTGAGGCATTTCCATGGTTGGCATCTGTTTCTCCTCCACCAGAGCTGCTGGCGCTGAGTTAATAACCGTGTTTGGGACTGGAGGGAGCGGGACTACCATGACTGATTTCTCCAGCCTCCCCATCAATCCCAGTTCACCCCTTTCCCTCCAGATGAGGCTCCACACCTTCCATCCAACGCCAGCAGGTACATCCACGGTCCCTGCACTTACCCGGGGTCTGCCCAGACTTGCCAGCATGGTTCATCTGGCGCTGCCTGCCCCCCCTACCCTAAACGTTTGCCGCCTTCTGCAGCTATGTGATATTAGGTTACCACATCAGCACTGGCGAATCAGTCATTTTGTAAACAGTCTAGGGGGCTCGTTGGAGGCCTTGTCTGGCGCAATCCACCGCTATAACCTCGTGAAAACATGCATGTCCTGCCAGTGTTGCCAGGGAACAGCGGATTCTCCCCCGACCTCTGGGTTAAGTGTCCCGCTGACCCCTGGAGCTCCTCTAAAGCCGAAGGGCAGCACAGCAAAACCGTAAGTGCTTCTTCTAACCCCCTCAAAAAAAAACCCCCACGTTTACCCCCGTGCTCATCCCCTCTCAAACCAGGCCAGTCACATCCATCCACCGATCCGACAGGTTCTCAGGGCCTGGCATTCTTCGATCCCATAGTGCCGGGTGGGGGGCTGGGGTGGGGGGGGTGCTTACAGTGCTTTTAATTGTCTTTTCCCAGCAATGGAATTGAGCACGGCAGTTTCATCAATACTGTGATCAATTCAGAATGAATAAATTGTTTTACAGGACTAAGAGTATGCAGAAACCGTTTCCACACCCCAATTAAGAGTCGTCCCCCAACCACTATGATTGCCTGCCGGTCGGGGAATTGATTAAATATAACATGTTCTCTGTTGTTGTTGTTTGTAATTGTGTTATCTGACTTTCTACTGATCATACAAACATATATGGGGGGCAATTATTATAAAGACAGGAATAAGAGTTGTATATAGGATCACTGTCACGTGACGTGGGTATTTACATAGGATATTCTGAAGGCCAATGTCATTTTTTGTCTTTATAATTTATATCGTTTGCACTAAATCATTTGCAGCTAAAAGGAGGCTCCTCCATCGCTTTAGTTTAAATGTTAGCAAATTGTTATTGCTGCCATTTCCAGAAGCTCGATCTAGATGATGCTGTGGGTTCCTTCCACAGATTAATTAGTCGTATATGACCCCAGAGAAACAGTATGGATATGTTATTAGGGGAGAGTAAAAGGAACACCTAAAGACGAATTATACACCGGCTGATAAATGAACTAATGTCCTGTTGATTAAACGTCTAAAATGCAATCTAAATGCGTGTATACCTATTTTTTTTATTTATTTTTTTTAATCCGGGCTGCCAATTTGTATGTATGTGAATTCAATGTACTTAAAAATTCAGCATCAATACAGAAACAGCAGCTGAGAGATGCCATTGCAGTAGGGTGTTGTTTAGCACCAGGATTCGTTTCGAACCACCTCGTTAACCTGCCATTCGGAGTGCAGACACTGGTCAAATTTAGCGGTGTCTTGAACTGAGTGTCCATTCATGGTTCCACTACAGAACTCATCTTCAAATGTGTTCAAAATGAAAAACGAAGAAACAAAGGTCTTGGGGCATCCCCACATCTGCCAGAGTCACTTAATCAGCTACTCTCATGTTCTTCAGGAGTAACGATTCGAGACATCGGCACATTGTGTCGATGTCACGGGGCTGTTTTATTTTCGTCTCCGACTCAGAGTGCACAGAACAAAAAAAAAAAAAAACGTAGCTTGTCAAACAGACGCGCCAATTCCTCCGGCTCAGTTCCCTGACACATTTTAATGACAGTCGTTTTGCGAAATTGTAAATACATAATCGCGTCAGGTCTCTCCTTCCGTGTGCCGCAGTCGGCACCCCGTGCTCATATTAATTAAAAAGCAGTGTCGACACCACATCTGCCGCTGGCTGACGGGATGAAGTGAGACTTTTTCGGGGAGACGGCAGTGTGAACTTCCCAGGTCTCATGCTGCCTCAAGTGACAGGAAAAGGCTGCGAGGCTGGCTGGCTCGCGAAATGAGCGGCCCTCGGATTGCGATGCCGGGACCAACATGCCTGGGAAAGCGGCGGGATTGGCCGGGCAGCTGGGGGGGGGGTGGTGAGCAGGCAGGAAACGGTTGGGTGAGTCATGCAGTGGCAGTTGTGCATGAAAGATGTGAAAATTCACCGCAAATGAGACAACGGCGGTGAATTCCTTTCTGTTCAAATTTGCATCTTCAGACATCAGACCTCGTCTCGTAAACATTTTGCCTCGGATAACATGACGAGGTGTTATTTGCTAGATTACACTCTTAAGCCATTAACATGTCACCTTCCTGCTTGAAACGGCGCTTGGGCTTCCTGTCATATAAGCAGACGAGTTAAAGAGGAGCTCAGAGGTGTCAGGACTTGACAAATGAAGCCACTTTCAGCTGTACAGTAGACGGGAGAGCAGGAACGGCGGCAGACGGTGGCAAACCGGAACGCTCCCGTGGAAGATCACAGCAGTCTGTGTCCGCCCATCTTACTCTCCTAACCTTGGCGAAGCCTGCTTTCCTTCCCGTTAAGGGTGCAGGCGCCTCCTCAGAAGGAGGGTTTCCATGCGCATAGAAGATCGCTTTGGCCAAAGTCGCAGGACGGCAGGCAGCTATGGGAGAAGGTGGCCAGAAATCACGACGTGATCCCTGCGCCACGTGGCGAGGGCCGCCCCTTGCTTGAGCGGAGAAGCCCCGTTAGATGAGGGGAGGCAGCAAACGGGGGGGATTGGGGGCATAAAGCTGGACAAGACCCACAGGACAGGAAGAAGTGGCTTGCCAGACGATTTGCTCCATTCAAATTGCTATCCGGAGAATCCCTTGGAAACATGCTCGGCATTCCGGGCATGGGTTCTGTCGCGGCCAAAAACACCCCCCCCCCCCCCCCCATCCCCCAAAAAAAACAGCTCAAGAGTCTTAACGCGCCCTCCAGCACTTATCACCTGGTACCCACCGGCTCCGCGCTCTGAATGAGCTCCCGCTAAGTAGGTTATGGTGACGGCGAGGACGCCGCCACCAGCTTCCAAAAACACTCCGTCCCCCTTCTGATGCGAGCTTAATTTCAACGGCACAATGGGCTCATCCGGTTAGAGTTTTGGACCAGAGGCACGCCGAGCTCCGTCCATCTCTAATCCAGATCAGGCCGGCTTGATTCGGGTTCAAGAGAGGGGCCCAGTTGACACTGCATGGGATTGCTGATAAAGGATAAATCTAAGCCCCTTCAATGAGATACATGGCAGGGATCTCCTCAGCTACCCAAGTGGGAAGCACAATAGTTGTTCTTGGCCGGCTCTCGCTGAGAAAACCAGATTCCACCCTGCCCCCTCCAACCTAAACCCCCCTCCGAATAGGCCCAATTCCCCTGTCCACACCACGTACAGCTTCCTTCATGCTTGTTTCAAGAAAAATCATGGGGCGGGCGCACATTTTCCTCTTCGTCCTCGGCGTCGGTTAAAGGTTAAACGTCGACTTCCCAGCAGAACCCACACAGCCGGGGGGGGGGCAGGCGCCCTGGCGTGCTCCCGCAGCCCCCGTTAACTATGGCGGCTTGGAGACAGCTCCCCCTGCGCATTCAGCATTTCGCCAACGTGCTCCTGAAAAAATAAATAAATAAATAAACGAGGCTCCCCCCGTTTGTCACCTGTCAAAGTCGGCCTCTGGATCTGGCCCGGCCTTCTGTCAAAGGTGACCACTCGTCCGCCATAATAACCGGGCACCGTTAAGATGGCTAACGAATGCCACGTGGAATTTTTTATGCCGGCAGAAGAGCTCAGTGGTGGTGACACTGGCGGACACATGACAGGTGCACGTCCCCCCCGAACAGACGTTGCATAACATCGTCATTCCGGATGCACGCGGCAGGGGCGACATTTACAAAAAAAAAAAAAAAAACGGTGATGAATCGAGAGCCTGTGCAGCGAATCCGACGAGCGTGGTCGTGCTGGAAGCACCTGATAAATATTACAGTAAAGCTCCCTTGACGAAGGATTCAATGACAAGAGGAGTCAGTGACATGGAATCAGGCAGTCCGCTACCCAAGCACGCCCTGTCAAGGTAAGTTTTAAATCAATGCTCCAGAAAGTTGCAGGCTTCAACCCCCCCCATATCCCCCTCAACACACAAAAAAGATCCATGACAAGACCGAACAATGTCATCTTTGACTTGAAGTTTATGAGACTTTGGGACAGGTCAGTGATCCATGACGGGGAGGGCAGACTTTGAAGGAACGACTCGCTCCCAGCTGCTCCCCAACATGTTACTGGGGCCCCGGAGCGCGGGGGTCCTTGCAGCCACGACATGCGAGCAGCTCGAAATTTAACTCTCCTTAGTCCACCCCCTCCCCGCACGTATCTACAAGCCGCGAGGCCGTCCGCTAATTAACCGGCTGGGCTCCACTCCACGGCTCCCACTGGATGCCAGGCTGCCTGGAGACTCTGGCGTCCCGCGTAAACACCAAAGATGAGAAAGTGAAAAGGAAGACTGTGAGAAAGAGAGAGAGATAGAGGGAGGAAAGGGGGGGGGGGTTGCCGAATTTGACATGTCTCGCCACGGTGGCCCACACCCCTGACGCCACACCGGTCCTGCCTTGTGGGCACCGGCCACTGATTTACATAGGTAATTTTACCTTTGAGTTACCGGGGTCGCGACCTTTGACCTCAAGGGTTAGAGCTGTCAGAGACAGACCTTGTTTTTTTTTGTTGATTTTTTTCCCCTGCTCTTGTCACTCCTTTCAAGAAATGGAGACAAACTTCCTCGGCAGCCCTACGGCGTTCAGTGCACCAGCGAACCAGCGCTGAGCCGCAAGACTTTACAGAGAGAGGAAGAAGCCAGTGACCTTCGGAGCTCTGTGACAGTAGCACAGTCCCTTGAGCTGCACAGGCATCTTTCTGATATTTGGAAATGTGTCATGTTTCTTTTTTTTTCCTCTCTCTTTCCCTCTCCCGCTACCCCCCACCTTTCCCTTTTCCTTACACACGGAACTGTCATATTGTTGTTGGCATAAAATGCAACACATCCCGGAGTTGTGATTTCCTTGTTTGCTCGGGAAAGAGGAAGGGGAAAAAAAAAGTGTCACCTGCAACGGATGACAAGTTTTTGTTTTAGCTCAAAGCGACTCGGCGCCCGTGAGACTCGGAACCGTTTTGATGCCGGGAGACCAAGACTCCCAAAAAATGGCGGAGATTTTTGGCTGACAGGCTTTCCGCAGCGGCAGTGGGGATACACGGAAGTCCCGACGCCGGGAACCTGACAGGAAAAGCCGTGCTAATTTTAGCATTTAGCATCCCTCATGAGCCGTTTGCCTCTTCAGTTGCCCAGGCATTTTCCCTCCACTACAAGGCATCCTATAGAGATGATAACATGGCTTGCTACGAATGACCCGCTACTAATTCATGATTTATACAGCACTTTCCGGAACATTTCACTGCAGGCCAAAAAAAAATAAAAGGAGAGAGAGAGAGCAAGAGTACAAATTAATTCGAGCACAGTATCTTTGCCTGTAGTGTTGCTTGTTCAAATACGGCATCTATTTGCTCAGTGGATGCTTTTCATAATGGAACTGATGTTTGATTGAGATGTTAAATGGCAGATAGGCACCGGGGTCAGGAATGACAGTGGCTATTACACGTGTCATTCGCGAGTTCATGAGGAACGCAGCCTGTCACGTGACGGATCACACACAATCCAATAATTCTTACAGTTCTTGCTCCATTGTCAATAGCCGTGCCCTGGGGAACGAGATTATTTGAAAGCGGGGAAATAGATGACTCTTAATTTGAGCGCTTCTGACTGAAATTGGTTCAGATTTGGGCTTCACAATGTCTGAGACAAAAAGAGACACAGAATATCACTCAGAATATTAACCATTCACATAGGTTCTGTTTTAAATAGTTTTTTCATTTGTATTTATCTTTTTTTTCCAAAAGATGCTTTTATTATACAAGTAACACTGTTAATTTCAGTTATTTTTACAAAAATGTCCTTAAATGATCATTTAAGTAATTTCACTTAAAAAAAAAAAATCCTGCATAACTGGAATTTATGAATAATGCAGGAATGTGTGGGTGGCACTGTTACCTCACATTACTGGGGTTGTTTGTTCAAATCCTACCCCTGCTCTGTGTGTGCAGGATGCAGGATTCTCCATGCATCGCACTGGTTTCATCTGGGTCCTCAGGTATCCTCCTACAGTCCAAATCATGCAGTTAGGTTAATTGGTATCTCTAAATTGACTGTAGTGTGCATGTGCCCTTTGATGGACCGGAGTCCCGTCCAGAGTGTCCCCTGCCTTGTGCCCCGTGATGGACCGGAGTCCCGTCCAGAGTGTCCCCTGCCTCGTGCCCTGTGATGGACCGGAGTCCCGTCCAGGGTGTCCCCTGCCTCGTGCCCTGTGATGGACCGGAGTCCCGTCCAGAGTGTCCCCTGCCTCGTGCCCTGTGATGGACCGGAGTCCCGTCCAGGGTGTCCCCTGCCTCGTGCCCTGTGATGGACCGGAGTCCCGTCCAGGGTGTCCCCTGCCTCGTGCCCTTTGATGGACCGGAGTGCCGTCCAGGGTGTCCTCCAGTCTTGTTCTTGCAATAAGCTCTAGGAGCAACCCTGACCAAAATAAGCAAGGTGGATGGATGCTGATATGTGATTTTAGCTAATTTAAATCCAAACAGTGTCAGAATTTATAAAATTTAATACTAAAACTGAAATAAAGGCACTAATAGTTCTTAAAAACACACTATTAAATGTCAATATTTATTTGGGGTTTTCTTGCAGATGTCAGCTTTGCGGGTATTTGTCTTTGTTTTCTGGTAAGCGTTGTATGGTTGGGGATAACTTCAGCCCAAATGACCACAGATAAAGTCATAAATGCTGTCCTGAGATGAGGCAGCTCCTAGTCACATTGCCCGCACTTGGAGAGAGAAGGGATTTGCCAGGACGCCAGCACAACGTCAGTCTCGTGCAATAACTCTGTAGCAGAAAACAGGAGCGTCTCACTACCGATGAAATATCAAAGAGACTTCACAGCATCCGTGCTACACGGAATCTGCCAAAGTGCGCTTGACACCTAATCAGGTTCAGCCTGCCGAAAGTCGCATTCATTACTTCCTACAGATCAAACATTCTTTAAGAAGAAAATGCATCCTTGTTCATGCTTCAGCCTTAGGCATCAGGGGCAAAACTTTTAGTTTCTTGCGACTGATGACCCTGGACCGGCCGGTGGGTATTTGGTTTGCAATAAATGGTGGCCCTCGTGCCATGAAAAGTGTTATGGTATGTTAAAGCTTGACAGATTTTTGTGCATATTTTCAGGGCAGAGATAAAAAAATAAATAAATTCTGGTAGGATAGAGAAGGTGTCAGAGAGAGAGAGAAAACGGAGACTCTGAATGTAACGTCGTCCCCTCAACAGTCATGCAGCCTGTTAAAGAATGTTGGGCAAACGGCGCAGTGGGGACACAGACGAACCGCGGCACGCTGGCCCGGCACGCTGGCCCGGCACGCTGGCCCGGCTCGCACTCCGCTGCCTCCCCGCATTTCACTGTGGTCCGAATTTGCGACCAGACGGCCAGAGCTATTGGCTAACCGTCCCACGGTCACTCGGCTGCTGAACATAAAACAGGAAAATGTAACAGCATGTCTGTGGATAGTTTATGGAGGGACGTGACCCCCTGGTTCACAAAACCACTAGCAGACATAAATAAATAAAAATAAATAACAATAATAAATGAAATACGTCGTGACCCAGTACTGGATAAGCTTTATGGGAGATCGATAAATGAAATGCATGAATTTTACCTGAACCCCTCCTGTTCACAAATCTTTTCAGTTGCCCAGTTACTTTCTATTACATTTTTATCATCGAGGGTTGATTCTGGCACAAACGAAACAGCTGAAGTTGAACCACCTAAAATATGCCTCATATAGCAGAAAAGGTTAAGCCTGCAACGTGAAGCTGTAAAACAAAAGCAGGGGACAGATCCCAGCTTGTTAAAATCAGTGTCCAAACTAGAACATATTTAATCAGCCTGTGCTGTTCATTATTGCTGTATTCAAATGGGTTTTTTTTTGTCTCCCACAGATGGGACAGAGAGACTCTTTTTTTGTAGATATTCAACATAACTAGAGAACGAAACACCTGACAGAACCTACGGCGGCTTCTGCAACTTCATGACGAAATGAAAAAAGAGTTTGCAGCAAACTAATGCCGCACGCTCACAGACAGGGACGGAAACATCAACGCAGAAAGGAAAGCCATCATTAAAACAGGGGGGGGTCATTTGCTGTGTGAATTTATTCCGGGACCCGTGGAGCCCTTGCAGGGCCAGTACACCCCAGCAACATACCAGGGATTCCTGTGTTCTGCTTAATCTTTTTTGATATTAACTGGCGATTCGGATCTAATTTTAGTGAATCAGTCACAAAGGCCCATGTCTTCTTTTAAATGGAGGGATCTAACGTCCCTTTAAAAGAGTAATTGAGCAGACATGCAGCAGTACCATTCTCTGTCAGTGTTTCCATTCACTTCAGATAATAAATGTCATGTGGTTTCCCATCTCATACAGAAATCATGCTTAGCCTCTTTTTTTCTTTGCATTTCCGCTCTACCACTTTAAAGAAAGAAAAAAAACTTTTTCCTTTTTTGCAGGATGTGACAATATCTAATACCATATATATATATATTTTTTATATATTTATTTTTCCCAGACTGTTACTGATGTTTGGATTAAACAAAAGAGATATTTTGCACGTTAGAATATCAATATTTTGAGGAATAAAACATTTTACATATGAGAAGGATAAGAGACACAGCAAATAATAACCTCCAGAGACTGAGACTGAGTCGGCGGCCGCAGACTGACTTTGGGACGCCTGCAATCCTGCTCCCCAGGTAAGTTTAATTGAACCGCATTGTTTCTCACACCCCATTGTTGAGGTTCACAGTCATGTTTACCAATGGTTTAATGCATCTACAATGCACTCTGTTTCATTATTTCTGTTTCTATTCATGCAAATGTACACACCAAGCTATTCCACGTTCAGCTTTAATTGATCCTCTATGCTGAAAATAAAATTAGGTTTTAGTGCCATTAATATATTTATTTTGTTTTTGCCTACAATCTGTGATAAAATATAATCAGCATGTACTATTTCATTTAGCATTATTATTATTGTTATTATTTATTATTGGCAATATTATTGTTGTTGTTGTTTATTGTTTTTAAGAGTAAAACAGTGTTCAGTTTTAAAAGAGCCAGATTTTCATAAGATAAAAATCCCAAGATTAATTCCAAGTAGCAAAATAATTGTCTGCTTTTTTCAAACTGCTGATGTTTCGTTGTAACGTAACAGTTCTTTAATTTGAAACCTCTACTGCTCCTATATATTGCACATTTTCTTCGCTCTTTGTTTAACATGCAAGACGCCGGTCGCCATTGAGGGGATCACTGGCGTTGTAGCACCACCAACTGGCGAGCGGCGGTACTACCGCTGGCGGCTGACCTTTCGCGAGACCGATAAGGTTATACGCAGATTATTGAACTTATTTACTTTGCAAAACAACCAATATGTTTAAACCGGCATCTTTGCTGTAAGTCAACGGAAAAACAATGGCGGGTATTTTTAACCTTAAAAAAAAACCCTCCAGATGCGTTCGCCGCGGTATAAATCATGATGCAACTTTAATAACGCGGGGCCAAGATCGTTGGAAAATCACAGCAGTAGCTCGGGGCTAAAGAGCTAAAATGAGGAGCTTCTCCCGTGTCTCACCTACAGATGGGGACTTGGCTATGCGCGGGCATAAGCGCTCGGATTGATCGCCGCAGTAGGTTGATGGCCGCTCCTCGTTTTGATGGATTCGACCGCACGCAAAAAAAAAAATAAATAAAATAAATTCCAGATCGGTGCACAGTGGACCTCAAACCATGTCAGCTAAAAAACCAAAGTGCCACAAAAACGGAGGGGGAAAAAGTGACAGCTGTGAAGAGAAACTCTGCAGGCAGTCAATGGCTTGTGTGATTTATCGGTCCATCTGCCCCGCCGCGGTGAGGACAAGTTTCCCCCCGTTTGGATGGAAGGGGACGCGGGGCGCATCTCTGCAGACCGGGGGAAACTTCGCACAATGCGCAATTAAAAGGAGATCCGTATTTATGACGGGCAATTAAAGTGCAGGGCACTGTTTACTGATAATACTTTTAAAAAGAATAATACCATTTACTGTAAAATTAATTATCAGTTACGGAATCAAAGTGGTTTGTATATTTTCAACGTATCATGACTGTGATTTCTTTTATTATTTAAAAGTACATTGTCACTTTTAAAAAGGCAAGTTTACAGGTAATTTCCTTGGGAAATCCGTAACGGTTTTAGTTGCGCGGGGGGATGATTCTTCACGCCCGTCTCTCATGCCAGCCCCCCGGTCCTCCCAGCCTTGACCTTCTGGGGCCAGGCGCTTCCTGTCTGGGGGTTCCAGCAGACCCCTGATCCGGGGCGGCCGGGCCAGGCTGTCAGAGGCCGTCTTTGCCTCCTGTGTCAGGATGTTGCTTTTGCCTCTCTAGTCTTTCCTGAATTCGGGAAAAATCCCCCTTTTTCTGCACATTTTTCCGGGTGAGGGTTCCTGCTGCAAATAACTGCTCTTAGAAAAATAACCCTGCTGTTTTGTTTCCACTGTGTTCTACGTATGTGTTTACATATTTTTATATATTTTTTTTCCCAGTCAGGAAAAAAAATGACCTCCCCCCAGTTTTCTATTGTTATTTTGGGCCCACTTGGGTCCTGTCGTGGCTGCAGCCACCCTGGAGATTCACCCCCTTCATCATGATGCAGAGATAACAGCATTATGTTTTAGCTATGCACGAAAAATTACGTATTTTCCCCTTTTTTGTTATTTAACGTTTAACAGCTTCACCACCCTCCTTCAAAATTACCTTGTATTGTCTGTTATGCCGGCCTAACCCCTCCTGCATGAAAAGGTGCAGTTTTGAGCTGAAAATCACTTGACTTAATGATGGTGAGACACACGTTTGGGGGGGGGGAGCATTTTTCACCCACGCTTTCGGTATTAACCCCAGGGGCGAGGTGCTCTGCATCAGCTCGCCTAACAGAGTCACGCAAACACATTGATTAACACTTGGCACGGGGTTCAACTCCGAACGATAAACTAATGATGGCTGATAAGCGGACATGTGTTTTCGCGTGGCAGCGATATTGAGGCTGGCAGGCTTATTTTAATAAGCTTTGGGGGTGGGGACGGGTTTCAGCCAGGCTTGCCCGGCCGCGCTGTGAGACCTAGGGCACGAGCGAGGTGTGCACGAATGAGCGTACACACTCGCACGAGCACGCACACACAGCTCGAGCCACCAACACTCGAGTTGTAAAGTGTAAGGCTTTGACGTTTTTGCTTAAAACGGCACAGGACCCCTAGACTTCTGGTGAACACTTACCCAGTGATAGTTTACCAACTGTAAATTATACTAAAAATACTTCTTTAAATTCCCGCAGCATTAGGGTCCAAAACTGCAGTTTAACGACATTCCGAAATATTTTTGAGGCAAAGCTCGATTTAGAAATTTGTTTTATATTTCATTATTTCACACGTACTGCAGTAGTGGTCACATAAAATGTAGCAAATAAACATAATATTTAGGTGACTGAAAAAAAACTATTATCGGTGGCTGGAATTAGCAAAAAACAAATAACGAAAACACATAGTGATTAGGTGCAAGTGTGAGCTGTCGTGTCGAAAAATCACACTTATTTTAAAACGGCCATGTTGCTTTGACCACAAGCACAGGCCTGTTGACAAATGAATACTTTAAAAAAATAAACTGCGACCGTGTTTAACACAGAGCGAGCTCCGTCCCAGTGAATTTGTCTTGGAATCCCTCCAGAGTCTTACAAAGACGCGCAGTTCTAATGAAAGTCATTCTGGAATGTTGACGCGGAGAAAGCCTTTGGCCCATCGAGCTCCCAATTGGAGGCCGTCATTCCAGCATGGACGACCAATAGCACGCCGGCTTCGTGGTCACATGGAAGGCGGGGAGGTGGCAATGTGCAGTGAAAAATGAAAGGCACTGGTGCTCGGCACTGGCCCTCATTTTTGGTACTGATGGGCATAGCACTGCATTTTAAAACCCTACCCAGCACACCCTTGACTCTTAGGGGACACGTATCGAGAAGAACTGGTTACATTTGTCAGTCTCCCTTCAGGGAGTGCTGTGTCTGAATCCAACATGGAGAAAGATATGCTCTCAGTACTGTAGCTCTGACCCCAACACCGCCTGGCTGAAGAGGTGAAAAGAGGCTCCTTACTTCTGTTCTTTTACAAGATTAGATTACATAGATACTAAGATCAATTGACTGAGTGATTGATTGATCGAGTGAGTGGGTGATTGATTGATTGGTTCATCTATCTGTTTGTTTGTTAGTTTATTGATCCAACGATCTAAGGGCGATTTTCTGTGTGGCATCCTTCCTGCATGTGCAGTAAGTCCCTCCCCCCCCCCACAAACTGAGACAGGAGCCCACAATACGGCGGCATGGAGTCGGACTGGGGCTACACGAGCGGGTTTAGGGACGGTCAATTAAACATCCGCGACCCCCTTAAATTTCATTCCTGTGCGCTTCTGTTTATTGCGACGCTTATTCTGGAGTCAAGGGATACGATGGCTACTGAGGGCCAGCGAGTAATGACCAGGTCAACCATGCATGATGTGCTTAAATTTCAACTTAGCAAAATGATTCCAAACCCTGTGCTTTCTCCACTGAATTGGTATTATTTAGTCTTATTTTTTTTAAAAAGGTTTTTATTAAACAGGTTATTTAATGATTCATAATATTAAGACTCTCTGGTACAGACCTTGGGAAGCATAATATCATTTGAAGCGTAACGCTCACTTGCTGAGGTTTATGAAATTCTCCAAAAAGGGTGAGAAATGATTTCCATGAGGGTGCTCCTTCTCCCCCCCCGCCAAAAAGCCAGAGCCGAAGATGTACGCAAAAATAGTCGCTCTGTCATTTCACATTCATTAAGTGTGAAACTCAGAAATTAATAATGTAAAAATATGCTTTTTAATTAGTCTTACATTCTGCCCACTGTACTTAAATGGGATCAGCCCATCCCTGATGACTTTTCCTTAATAAAGTATTAGGTTGTGATGCACGGGTCTTGACAGGTGTGACAAACTGGAGAGCATTTCTCCAGCCATAAATGTTACCAAAGTAGTGCTCCTCCATTTAAATGTAATTAACATCCAAGCGTGATATTACATGAAGACACGAGATTTTGATATCTGTTTGCCTCCGTTTCTTTTTATTGGGCTGCTCCGTGACTTAGCTTTGATTTACGTAACCAAATTGTGCTACACGAGAACTCATTTAATCCAACCCCACATCTAAGGAAAATTTTAGGGGCCAGTTGAAATGCCCCGGTCGAGTGGCTGTGATGGAATTAACTTCAGACTAATGTTGTTTAACATGCCATCTTTTTGGTATCAAAAACTATCCTTCTAATGATTTTTTTTAGATTTTTTGTACAGTATCTCTCTTTTTTATAGGTTTTTAAAAATTTATTTTAGCTGAGCAGTTTACATGTATAATATAGTCACAGAATAAACATTTTTAGTGCTAAATAACTGCTTGCACATATTGCACAAACAAATATTTTAAAATGTGCTTTTTTGTTTTTTATTTGTATGCAATTTCATTTTCTTTTATTTTAGTGCAGAACTGAAAACAAGGGTAAGTTTCCCGTCAGTTATAGTCTGTGTTTATGCAAATGAGGCGCACACTCACACGCGCTCAGGGGTAACTGGGATCTCCCCGCGGTGATGAGCTGCACGTTCGCTGTCCTGGAGGAGTCCAGGGGACCATAAGTGGGAAAAAAAGAAAACCACTCAATGCTTGAAGGAAGAACGTCTAGAACTAGGGTATCATGCCTCAGTCCTGAACACTCCCGGGTGAGCCAAGACTGTGGGGCGCTTCGAATCTAGATTCGGACCAATTCGGAACCCACGTGCCGGTGCCTAAATTCAGATTCTCGCTATCCAGGAATGAATAGTACATGGACAAGAAAAAAAATTAAAAATAGGATGCAGCCTTGTTAAAAAATCCCTGGAATGCCACACAGAGACGGTTATCATCACAGGGTAGATTCCAATTCAGGATAACCATGCCCACCTTTGCATACTCTGGCTTTGTTTGAAATATCAGCGGTGAGGGTGAACGTTGGGAGTGGGGGGGGGTTGTTATTTACTTCACTTTCTCCTTCCTCTGGCCCAAAGCATGCAGATTCACACCTCACAGAGAACAGATTAGAGCTGACAGTAATCATAATGAGAGGTGTGTTATATAACTTAAATGCTCAGGTAAATCACGGGCCTGCCCCAACGCGGTGACAGATCCTGTCACTTTCGTTTAGGGGCCAAATTACGGGGGGGAGAGACCCTCTCGTCTGTTCTTGCAAGGCCGGCTGCCAAATTGGCTCCGGATTCCGAGACTCTGACACCCTTTTTTTTAATTTAATTTAGTGCTAATGAATTCGGGGGTTGTGATTGCCGTTGTTCAGAGTAACAGCCCAGGTACTCGGAGTATCATGATAGCGAGAATCATTAGGGGATCCGGTGTTAACCGCTGTGGCCCTCTCCTACCGTGGCCCGGTCTGGTGCCTATCCAAACGTGATTCGTAATCCCCCCTACTCCATTTGTCCAACTGCTGGGAAAGATGGGGAAATGCTATAGCGATGTCCAGGCTTGGGACTAAACGGTTCTGCGGTAAGGCCCAGAAGCCGCGGACATTAACCTGGGCAGCCCACGTCCTTCGGCGCCCAGAGCCCCAGAGGTGGGAAAAGCATCCAGAGGATGAAGTCAGAATGAGGGACGCTGACGGTGACTCAGCTTCCTCCGTACAGTGCCAGCACAAACATGGCCGACTGTCAAAACCGGCACCCGGACCAGTTATTAAAATTTATGTGACCACTTAATAAATAAATAAATCTAACTTACATATTTCTTAATCATTTATCTGCAGCAAAGAAAAAGACTCGGGTTATATTGTAATACTGTTCAGGTATTATATAAATGAATTTTAAAATAAAGAATGTTAACATTATATTAACAGCACATTTGATTTCAACAAAACTGTGTATTTTCTATTAATCAATAACCAGCACATAGTATATTATAATATTATTTCACATATTAGTAATCTTTAATCCCAATAATATTAACATGAGATGGAGTCATCTGATGTGACCAGAACACAGCAGTCAAGAGTTGTCTGTGTTGCCCAGGTCATGGAGGCAATAGTTTTATTTAAATGACCCCCCCCCCCCTTGTTTCTCTGCTCCATCTAAGCATCTCTGACAACACGGCTTTGTCACTCCGAAGCAAGACAGCAAAGTCACGAAGGCAAGTCGTGAGACAAAAAAAAATAAAACGAAAGAATCCGTGTTGGTGAGTGGCACTGCCCGTGACTGAAAGGCCTTGCGTGCATCGAACGTGACATTTTAATGTAGCTGGGGTCCGCCGCGATTGATCCCCCCCGCCCCCCCCAAGGCTGTCACAACTCTCCGACAGTTTCCGGAGACGGGGACAAAGAGCGTTTTTTCTCCAACCGGCAGGCCCCCCTTCACGGACACGGAAAACAACAAAGATTTGTGGTGGGTCTGCTGTACACGCGCGCACACACCCGCCCGCCAGATTCGCCCTTATCTCATTCGTTCGCCTGCCATATTTCTGGTGACGGCCACAACGGGTTCCTTTACACCCTCTCCCCGTCGGTTGTGCCAGAGTGTCACCAAAGAACCGCATTTACTGGCGGCAAACTGTGATGTTTCTAATTATCAAACGCTTTATGACATCGCTCTCGTGCAGTAAATGTTTTTTCTTCTTCTTCTTCTTCTTCTTGCTCATTGTAAATGAAAAAAGCACAATTCTCTACTGCAACTTGGTTATAAAAGGGATTTGATGAGGGGAGGGAAAAAATGAAAAAAATCATTAAATATGACTTTTTGAAAAACAACAGCTCTCACGTTCTCTCCCAGGAGAACGGCCGCCGTTTGATTGGCAAGCGTCGCCGGTAAGAGCGTTGCCGCGGTGACGTGCGTCAAGCTGTTCCGACAATGGGCGGCAGGTGAGAGGTTAATTAGGGGCCACTGTGGTTTAATCTGGGAGCACTTTAAGCTGGAGTGCGATGGTTTTCTGCAGTTTGTGATGTGTGCTCGAGCAGGCGTCTGGGATTGGCCCGAGACCGCCTGCGTTCGCCCCACACGAGACGCGCACAGCTGTCAGATAAAAATCAATTGAATTTTAAAGGGCTTTAAAGTAAATATTTAATTCTTGCCTTGGGAACCAATTAAGTGAAGCATGTGAACTTTGAGGGACTGGTTGAACTGGAGTTGTACTGGTACCAGCTGGTGTTCCACTGGGATCAACTGGAGGG